ATTAAAAAATTAGTAGATCAATTTGTTGTGACAGTTGGTCATACATTTATTTTCTTTTGAATAGCTTTTCCTTTGACCATTAGTCTCCTGTGACCGATTATAGGTTTTTTTGAACAAAGGCATGCATATGAGTGGTCATATTGGATTTGAATAGATTCATCCTATTTCTCAATACTATATTATTCAACTCAAGGTCTAGAATTATCCACACACTCTCAAAAACTCTCTGCCGCTGTGGTACATACACGGTCTCTCACCATATACTTGCAGAGTGTTTTCTTTGATTGAAAGATCATGGAGTTAAGTATAGACTCTTTTGTCACTTGTTGGAAACGTTCTAAAGTATGAATACGTATTTATAGTGGCTAAGTTTTTGAATCCATAGGTTTTTTTTTATATGTTATGAGTTTTGATGCAAGTGAGTTATATAATTTTTTGTATTATGTGTGATGTTTGAACAAATCGGTGAATAGTTAAATTTTGAATAGATATGGATACTTTTGGGTAAATAATATATTTTTAGTAAAAAAAATAAAAATTAAACTAATGTATTGACACAATAAAATATATAATTGTTGTTTCTTCTCTTATTTTATCAATTGTGTTTTGTGGGATGCTCGTAAACGTTGTTTGTTAATAAATATTTTTAGATAAATTACAAAAGTAGTTCTTGTATTTTAGTTTTTATGTCATTTTAATTTCTATAATTTCAATTGACTCAATTTCAATCATGAATTTGTGATTTTGTTTTAATTTGGTCTAATTAATTACAACTCTTAACATTTTTGTTATGAAAAATAGACATACAAGTGGCATGCATCATATTTTTTAAAAGCAAAATTATAAAATTACTTAACTCAGTGAGTTAACTTAAATCAATTTATTGATTATTTTTCATCAACAACACTAATAACATTATTAATTGGATTAAATTGACACAAAATTTAAAATTAATGGTAAAAATTGAGTCAATTGAAAGTGTAAAAATCAAAATGATACAAGAGATAAAATGTAAGACTATTGTTATAATTTACCCAATATTTTCAGTTGAATTTATGACGTGTTCGGTGTAAAAAAAAGTACAAGAAAATAATTAAAAAAAAAAGTCATAACTTTAACAGCTGAGTAGTTAAAAAAACAAAAACAATTTCAATCATGAATTTGTGATTTTGTTTTAATTTGGTCTAATTAATTACAACTCTTAACATTTTTGTTATGAAAAATAGACATACAAGTGGCATGCATCATATTTTTTAAAAGCAAAATTATAAAATTACTTAACTCAGTGAGTTGAGTTAAATCAATTTATTGATTATTTTTCGTCAACAACACTAATAACATTATTAATTGGATTAAATTGACACAAAATTTAAAATTAATGGTAAAAATTGAGTCAATTGAAAGTGTAAAAATCAAAATGATACAAGAGATAAAATGTAAGACTATTGTTATAATTTACCCAATATTTTCAGTTGAATTTATGACGTGTTCGGTGTAAAAAAAAGTACAAGAAAATAATAAAAAAAAAAAGTCATAACTTTAACAGCTGAGTAGTTAAAAAAAAAAAAACTGACCCGACACCCGAGTTATAAATAATTAAAAAAAACAGCTGAGTAGTCAAATTATCACTTTTATTTAAGAAAAAATAAATATATAATCTAAATTCATTCAGTGTTGGTCTAACATAGATAAGTTAATTTTGAAAAATGCTAATCTTTATGAGTAAGATTCGTGACATAAAATTTAGGGCGAAATATTAATAAATCTCTAATAATAATCCATTAGACTTAGTTTAGTTAGTCACCATACTTTCCTCAGAGCATCACAATGAGTGTGTCAGTGGGTGTGCTAGTGTGCCAAATTTTGGCCAGCTAAAAACACTGTTTTGTGCTGCAATGAAGTTGCTAACTTGTGTAGTAGTGTCAGCCATTAGCATTGTATATTAACTTGTGTGTTAATTGTGATTAGCATTTTAGCCAACGAGAGAAAGAGGGCATTGGGTTTCCTGCAAACCCAAAAAATATAGTATTATTTTTCAATTACAACATGGAAAATAGCATTAAAAAAACAAAAATGCAATAAAAAAAAAAACACATTAAACATTAATGTTAAAAAAACAATGCCCAACAAGTTAAAAAAAAAAAAAAACAGATTGACCGGCCGGACATCTAGGCGGCCAATTGACCGGCCGGACTTCTAGGCAGATGTCTCGGCGGACGACCCAATCCGTTGACATATATATATATATATATATATATTCTTAACACACACCTTAACATATTCATTGCACAACCACTCACTCTCTAAAATTAACAAACTCTTAACACACTTTACCACACATTTTTTAGGCCTCACGTTTGTTACTTTTTGTCATATAACACACTTTAACAAACAATTTTAGCCATCCCATTGTGGATGCTCTGAGGGCTTAGTCCCTAGGGAGGTCATGGGTTCAATTCCTGGTTGAAGGAGTTGAATTAAGGGAGTGCAAGCATTTAGATGTTTTGTTAAGGATTGAGAGATTTTTTTTCCCATAGGTACTAATCTAGCAACTAACATTTGCTGATAAAAAAAAAAAAAAATTCTCAAATCTCGAATAGTGATTTTAAGAACTGTTTGGTCTTTTTTTTTTTTTTTGTTTTTTAATTAATGGATTCAAAAGTCATATTCTAATGTGAATTACATAAAGGGTTAAGTATGAACGGGCATGTGCTTTGTGTTGAGAGACAAATGTGAGTTTTTCTAAACGTAACATTCCAATGTAACACATTAAAAGTTTATTTAGTGTACTTTTTTCAAACATAACAACGTAACATTTCAAAAAAATTCTTTAGTGTATTTTTTTTCCAAACGTAACACTTCAATCAATGTAACACATAAAAACTCAGTGTATTTTTCCAACGTAACAACGTAACATTCCAAGAAAACCCCTTAGCGTATTTTTCCCAAATGTGACACTCCAATCAATGTAACACATAAAAGCTTTTTAGTGTACCTTTTCTAAATGTAACACTCCAATCAATGTAACACATAAAAGCTTTTTAGTGTACCTTTTCTAAATGTAACACTCCAATCAATGTAACACAAAAACTCCTTAGTGTACTTTTCCCAAACGTAGAAATGTAACATTCCAAGAAAATTCCTTAGCGTATTTGTTTTCCAAACGTAACACTCCAATCAATTTAACATATAAAAATTCCTTAGTGTATTTTCCTTTTCCAAATGTAGTACTCTAATGTAGCACTTCAATATAATACCAAAAAATACACTAATAAAAATGTATATTTCCACATTTGAAAAGAATTTTCCACAACCTTACCTTTCCGTTCCCATGCCAAAAACGAATTAGAAAATTGAAAAAATGAATCATAAAGGGCATTCACTTAAATTCAAATAGCACCAAATCAAATAAATACAACTTTCTAAAACAAAAAGGACTAATTGATTCATAAAAAAAAACTTTTAATACTAAATAGATCAACATTCACCATATTAGATTTATAGGTAAATTTTTCTAAATTTTAATCCCTCTCCTAGCTCACGGTTATGTTAATTAGCAGATTGAAGTAATGTCAGTACATCCTCCGTCTCAAAATATTAGTCTCTTATTCTATTTTAATTGTCTCAAAATATTAGTCTCAAAATATTATTAACAAGTGGGCATCATTGAAAGCAAGCATAGCTAGTTTGACAAAATTAAATAATTGCACTTGTAATTTCTTTTCATATAACGCTACATGTTGACATGAATTTTATTAAATGTCAGCAAGCAAAACTTGAATTATTTGACCTCCCCTCACAAATAGTTGTGTACTGGGTAGAAATTGATTATTTTTTCAACACGATCTCTAATTGTTTTGTTTTGTTTTTTCCAGTGGCAGAGATAGATGGTGGCTTGCTCGGCCCGATTGGGCCACTAGGATTCGGTATAGACCTTAAATTTTACAAGTTTTTTTGAATTATGGGTTACGAGTTCTTATGTTTTTGAATATGACAAGCAAAATTTAAATTGTCTGACATTGTTCAAAAATAGTTTTTTACGGGACAAACTGATTTTTTTTTGAACGCTGTCTTTTGTTTTTTCCAATTGTAGGCATATATGATGATTTGCTTGGCCCTCCGATTGACGTTAAGAATTGAAATTTTGTCAGTTGTAGTGAACGGATTGCGAGTTTTGATAAATAGGTTAAGTTCTAATTTTTAATAATTGCATTTCTACACAAAAATGACAAAAAATATTATTAAGAATAGGGCATTATGGGATCCAAGTGGAGATACTATATTGACAAAATTAAATAATTACACACTTGTAACATCTGTGCATATAACATTACGCAATGACATGAATTTCTTTGAATGTTGAGTTGCAAGAGTTGAATTATCTGTCCTCCCCTCATGAATAGTGCTTTGCAGAACATAAATTGATTATTTTTTCTGCACTATCTTTTTTTTCCTAATGGCAGGCGTATATCCTGGTCTGCTCGTTGCAACTATTAGCCCACCAAAGCTTGGTATGAACTGGAATTTTTTAAGTTGTAGTCAATGGGTTGCAATTTTTGATCAATGGGTTGAAGTTATAGTTTTTAATAATTGACTTACCATACAAAAATGGGGAAAAATGTTATTAAGAATAGGGTATTATGTGAAGGAAACAGAGATACTTAGTATCTCAAAATTATATTATCTCATCGCCGTAAATTCTTTTCATGTAACGTTATGCAATGACATCAATTTTTTGAACATCAAGAAACAAAACTTGAATTATTTGACATTCCCTTACAAATAGTTGTATACTGGGTTGAAACTGATTATTTTTCGACACTATCTTCTTCTTCTTCTTCTTTTTTTTCTCTTGCCAATGGCGTGCGTAGATTTTGGCTTGTTCGATGCGCCAAATGATCCACCAGCATTCGGTAATGATTGAAATTTAGTAAGTTGTAATCATTTGGTTACATTGGGCATTGTCGGAAGCAAGTGAAGACAACAGGTTTGATGAAATCGAATGATTGCACATCTAATCTTATTTTTTTGTAAGATTATGCATTGACAAAAATATTTTTTGAATTTTATCAAATAAAACTTGAATTATTTGACCTCTCCTCTGAACAAGGTCTTTACTGGATAAGAAATTGATTTTTTTTTTTTTTAAACACTATGTTTTACAATGGTAGGAGCTGGTGCTGGCCTACCGGACATACCGATTGATCCACCAGCTTTCAGTAACATTTGAAAATTTTATAAGTTGTGGTCAATGGGTTTCAGGTTATTGCAAACAGGTTGAAGTTGTATCTTTTAACAATTGCCTTTTCCACAAGAAAATGGTAGAAAATATTATTTCAAAAGTAGCCATCATCGACAGAAAGCGGAGATAGCTAGATCTACAAAATTAAATAATTCCGCTTGTAATTTCGTTCCATATAACATTGTGCAATGACACACATATTTTTGAATGACGAGCAAAACATGAATTGTTGCATCTCCCCTCACAACTTGTGGTTTACTAGATGGAAACATATATATATATATATTTTCTAATTGAATCTTTCTTTTTCTCTTTTCCCTAGAGGCAGGCGCAAATGCTGGCCTCCTCGTCGCGCCTGCCTCTAGAGAAATATTATTAATAAATGACTTAACCACAGAACAATGAGGAAAAATATTATTAACAAGTGGGCATCATTGAAAGCAAGCACAACTAGTTTGACAAAATTAAATAACTACACTTGTAATTTCTGTTCATATAATGCTACGCATTGACTTGAATTTTTTTGAATGTCAACAAGCAAAACTTGAATTATTTAACCTCCCCTCACAAATAGTTGTGTACTGGGTAGAAGTTGATTATTTTTTCTATATAATCTCTTTTTGTTTCGTTTCGTTTTGTTTTGTTTTGTTTTGTTTTTTTCTAGTGGCAAAGATAAATGGTGGCTTGCTCGACCCGATTGGGCCCCTAGGATTCGGTATAGACCTTAAATTTTACAAGTTTTTTTGGATTATGAGTTACCAGTTCTTATGTTTTTGAATATGACAAGCAAAACTTGAATTATCTGACATCACTCAAAAATAGCGGTTTACGGGATAGAAACTGATTTTTTTTTTGGACGCCGTCTTTTGTTTTTTTTCCAATTGTAGGCGTATATACTGATCTACTTGGCCCTCCGATTGACGGTAAGAATTGAAATTTTGTCACTTGTAGTGAACGGGTTGCGAGTTTTGATTAATGGGTTGAAGTTCTAATTTTTAATAATTGCATTTCCGCACAAAAATGGCAAAAAATATTATTAAGAATAGGGCATTATGGGATGCAAGTGGAGATACTATATTGACAAATAAATAATTACACAGCTGTAATATCTGTTCATATAACATTATGCAATGACATGAATTTCTTTGAATGTCAAGTAGCAAAAGATGAATTATATGTACTCCCTTCATGAATAGTACTTTGCAGAACATAAACTGATTATTTTTTCTGCACTATTTTTTTTTCTCCTAATGGTAGGCGTATATGCTGGCCTGCTCGTTGCACCTATTAGCCCACCAGAGCCTGGTGTGAACTGAAATTTTTTAAGTTGTAGACGAAGGGTTGCAAGTTTGGATCAATGGGTTGAAGTTATAATTTTTAATAATTGGCTTGCCCTACAAAAATGAGGAAAAATGTTATTAAGAATATGGTACTATGTGAAGGAAATGGAGATACATATAATCTCAAAATTAAATAATTTCACCGCCATAAATTCTTTTCATGTAACGTTTTGCAATGACATGAATTTTTTTGAATGTCAACAAGCCGAACTTGAATTATTTGACCCCCTCTTACAAATTGTTATATATTGGGTAGAAACTGATTATTTTTTCAACATTATTTTCTTTTCTTTTCTTTTTTTTTTCCTTCCCAATGGCATGCGTAGATTTTGGCCTACTCAATGTGCCAAATTATCCACCAGCATTCGGTAATAGTTGAAATTTAATAAGTTGTAGTTATTTGGTTACAAGTTTTGATCATTAAGTTGGAGTTTTACTTTATAAAAAATGGCAAAAAAATTATGAAGAATTGGGCATTATCGGAAGCAAGTGGAGATAACAGGTTTGCAAAATTGAATTATTGCACATCTAATCTCATTTTTTGTAAGATTATGCAATGACAAAAATATTTTTTGAATGTGATCAAGCAAAACTTGAATTATTTGATCTCTCATCAAGACAAGCTCTTTACTATATAAGAAATTGATTTTTTTTTAACAGTGTCTCTTTTTACAATGGCGGGAGCTGGTTGTCACGTACTGACTTATTGAGGATGCGAGTTTTACACCAAGCACCTTGCATGCGTATTAGTTTGTGAGCAGCAAGGCAAGCAGGGTAGATCCCTATCACTTCTCTTGGGTTGGTCCTTGGGCATAATACACGAGGGTACGTTGTACCACTCGTGGAGCCAGCTTCTCGGGAGGATGACAAGCGCCCAGTCCGTGGCAAGTGGTATTAGAGCCAACCTAGAGCCACTGTGATAGGGACGGTACGTGGGACTTACACCAAGCGCCTTCATTGTGGGGTCTGCGCCAAGGGTGGTGTTTGCACGGGATGGGTTTCGTGGGTAGGGGAACGGACAAGCGTGGACGCAGGCAGGGTAATGTCCTCCTGACGAGGGCGTCAGGGACTGGCAGTGGTAGTTTCACGTACCGACTCATTGGGGATGCGAGTTCTACACCAAGCACTTTGCAAGCGCATTAGTTTGTGAGCAGCAAGGCAGGCAGGGTAGATACCTATCGCGTCTCCTGGGTTGGTCCTTGGGCATAATGCACGGGGTACGCAGTACCACTCGTGGAGCCGGCTTCTCAGGAGGATGACAAGCGCCTAGTCCGTGACAACCAGCTCCAGTTATTGTAAAAAAAGGTGTTAAAAAAAATATATCAATATCTTATCCAGTAAAGAACTTGTTTTGAGGAGAGGTCAAATAATTCAAGTTTTGCTTGATAACATTCAAAAAATATTTTTGTCGCTGCATAATCTTACAAAAAATGAGATTAGATGTGCAATAATTCGATTTTGTCAAACTTGGTATCTCCACCTACTTCCGATAATGCCCAATTCTTTATAATTTTTTTTGCCATTTTTTATAAAGTAGAACTCCAGCTTAATGATCAAAACTTGTAACCAAATGACTATAACTTATTAAATTTCAGCCATTACCGAATGCTAGTGGATCATTTGGTGCATCGAGCAGGCCAAAATCTACAGATGCCATTGGGAAAGGAAAAAAAAAGAAGAAAAGGACACAGCGTTGAAAAAATATTTAGTTTCTACTCAGTATACAACTATTTGTAAGGGGAGGTCAAATAATTCCAGTTTTGTTTCTTGACGTTCAAAAAAATTCATGTCATTGCATAACATTACATGAGAAGAATTTAAGGCGGTGAAATTATTTAATTTTGAGATTCTATGTATCTCCATTTCCTTTACATAATATCCTATTCTTATAACATTTTCCCACATTTTTGTATGGTAAGTCAATTATTAAAAATTATAACTTCAACCCATTAATCCAAACTTGCAACCCATTGACTACAACTTAAAAAATTCCAGTTCACACCAAGCTCTGGTGGGCTAATAGGTGCAACGAGCAGGCCAGGATATACACCAACCATTAGGAAAAAAAGATAGTGTAAAAAAAATAATCAGTTCATGTTCTGTGAAGCACTATTCATGAGGGGAGGACAAATAATTTTTCTTTTGCTATTTGACATTCAAAAAATTCATGTCATTGCATAATGTTATATAAACAGATATTACAGTTGTGCAATTATTTAATTTTTTCAATATAGTATCTCCACTTGCATCCCATAATGCCCTATTCTTAATAATATTTTTTGCCATTTTTGTGCGGAAATGTAATTATTAAAAATTTGCACTTCAATCCATTTATCAAAACTCGCAACTTGTTCACTGCAATTGACAAAATTTCAATTCTTACCGTCAATCGGAGGGCGAAGCAGATCACATATATGCCTACAATTAGAAAGAACAAAAGATAGCGTTCAAAAAAAAAAATCAGTTTCTATCTCGTAAACCATTATTTTTGAGTGATGTCAAATAATTCAAGTTCTGCTTGTCATATTCAAAAACATAAGAACTTGTCACCCATAATTCAAAAAAATTTTAAAATTTCAGGTTGATACCGAATCCTAGCGGCCCACTTGGGCAGAGTAAGCCACCATCTATCTTTGCCATTGGAAAAAACGAAACAAAAAGAGATTGTGTTGAAAAAATAATCAATTTCGACTCAGTACACAATTATTTGTGAGGGGAGGTCAAATAATTCGAGTTTTTCTTGTAGACATTCAAAAAAATTCATGTTAACGCATAGCGTTATATGAAAAGAAATTACAAGTGTAATTTTTTAAATTTGTCAAACTAACCTTTCAATGATGCCCACTTGTTAATAATACGTTTCCTCATTGTTCTATGGTTTAAGTCAATTATTAATAATATTTCTTTAGAGGCAAGCGCGACAAGTGGGCCAACATTTGTGCTTGCCTCTAGAGAAAAGAGAAAAAGAAAGATTCAGTTAGAGAAAATATATATATATATATATATATGTTTCCATCTTGTAAACCACAAGTTGTGGGGGGAGATGCAATAATCCATGTTTTGCTCGTCATTCAAAAATATTTGTGTCATTGCATAATGTTATATGGAATGAAATTATAGTTGTAATTATTTAATTTTGTAGATCTAGCTATCTCTGCTTTCTTTCGATGATTGCTACTTCTGTAAAAATATTTTCACCATTTTCTTGTGGAAAAGACAATTGTTAAAAAATACAACTTCAACCTATTCGTCATAACTTGAAACCCATTGACTACAACTTATAAAATTTTCAAATCTTACCGAAAGCTGGTGGATCAATCGGTATGTTCGGTAGGCCAGCACCAAAAAAAAATCAATTTCTTATCCAGTAAAGATCTTGTTTTGAGGAGAGGTCAAATAATTCAAGTTTTGCTTGATAACATTCAAAAAATATTTTTGTCATTGCGTAATCTTACAAAAAATGAGATTAGATGTGCAATTATTTGATTTTGTCAAACCTGTTGTCTTCACTTACTTCCGATAATGCCAAATTCTTCATAATTTTTTCTTTAATTTTTGTAAAGTAAAATCCAACTTAATGATCAAAACTTGTAACCAAATGACTACAACTTATTAAATATCAGCCATTACTGAATACTGATGGATTATTTGGCGCATCGAGCAGGCCAAAATCTACGCATGCCATTGGGAAGGGAAAAAAAGGAAAGAAAAGAAGATAGTGTCGAAAAATAATCAGTTTCAACCCAGTATGCAATTATTTGTAAGAAGAGGTCAAATAATTCAAGTTTTGTTTCTTGACGTTCAAAAAAATTCATGTCATTGCATAACATTACATGAAAAGAATTTACGACTGTGAGATTATTTAATTTTGAGATTCTATGTATCTCCATTTCCTTCACATAAATACCCTATTCTTAATAACATTTTCCCCCATTTTTGTATGGTAAGTCAATTATTAAAAATTATAAGTTCAAGCCATTGATCAAAACTCGCAACCCATTGATTACAACTTAAAAAATCCATTGATTACAACTTAAAAAATTCCAGTTCATACCTAGCTCTGGTGGGCTAATAGGTGCAACGAGCAGGCCAGGATATACACATGCCATTAGGAAAAAAAAGATAGTGCAGAAAAAATAATCAATTTATGTTCTGCAAAGCCCTATTCATGAGGGGAGGACAGATAATTCATCTTTTGCTACTTGACATTCAAAGAAATTTGTGTCATTGCATAATGTTATATGAACAGATATTATAGCTGTGTAATTATTTAATTTTGTGAATATTGTATCTCCTCTTGCATCCCATAATTTCCTATTCTTAATAATATTTTTTTACCATTTTTGTACGGAAATGCAATTATTAAAAATTAGAACTTCAACCCATTTATCAGAACTCGCAACCCGTTCACTACAACTGACAAAATTTCAGTTCTTACCGTTAATCAGAGGGCTGAGCAGATCAGCATATATGCCTAGAATTGGAAAAAACAAAAGACAGTGTTCAAAGAAAAATCAGTTTCTGTCCCGTAAACCACTATTTTCGAGCGATGTCAGTTAATTCAAGTTTTGTTTATCAAATTCAAAAACATAAGAACTTGTAACCCATAATTCAAAAAAACTTGTAAAATTTAAGGTCTATACCGAATCCTAGTGGCTCAATCGGGCCGAGCAAGCCACCATCTATCTCTGCCACTGGAAAAAAACAAAACAAAACAAAACGAAACAAAAGAGATTGTGTTGAAAAAATAATCAATTTCTACCCAGTACACAACTATTTGTGAGGGGAGGTCATATAATTCAAGTTTTGCTTGTTGACATTCAAAAAAATTCATGTCAACGCAAAGCGTTATATGAAAAGAAATTACAAGTGCAATTATTTAATTTTGTCAGACTAGCTGCGCTTGCTTTCAATGATGCCCACTTGTTAATAATATTTTTCCTCGTCGTTCTGTGGTGAAGTCAATTATTAATAATATCTCTAGAAATCCATTGACTACAACTTATAAAATTTGAAATCTTACCGAAAGTTAGTGGATCAATTGGTACGTCCGGTAGGCCAGCACCAAGCGCCCAGTTTGTGTCATGGTGCTGGTCTATCGGACGTACTGATTGATCCACTAGCTTCGGTAAGATTTGAAATTTTATATGTTGTAGTCAATGGGCTTCAAGTTATGGTGAACGGGTTGAAGTTGTATTTTTTAACAATTGCCTTTTCCAGAAGAAAATGTTGAAAAATATTATTTCAGAAGTAGCCATCATCGGAAGAAAGCAGAGATAGCTAGATCTACAAAATTAAATAATCACACCTGTAGTTTCCCTCCATTTAACATTGTGCAATGACACAAATATTTTTGAATGACACGCAAAACATGAATTATTGCACCTCCCCTCACAACTTGTGGTTTACTAGATGGAAACAATTTTTTTTTTTTTTTAACGGAATCTTTCTTTTTTTCTTTTCTCTAGAGGCAGGCGCAAATGCTGGCCCGCTCGTCGTGCCTGTTGGTCTCCCAGTGCCTGGTAAGAACTAATTTTTTTTTTAAGTTATATTCAATTAGTTACAAGTTCTGAAATAATTGACTTAACCACAGAACAATGAGGAAAAATATTATTAACAAGTGGCCATCATTGAAAGCAAGCACACTTAGTTTGACAAAATTAAATAATTACACTTGTAATTTCTTTTCATATAACATTATGCAATGGCATGAAATTTTTTTAATGTCATCAAGCAAAACTTGAATTATTTGACCTTCCCTCACAAATAGTTGTATACTAGGAGTGCGCAAAATACCCAAAAACCCGGTTTTTTTCTTTTTCTTTTTTTTTTCTTTTCCCTTCTATCCATTGGTTTTGTTTTCGATCTTAAAATATCAACTTGATAGGATTGGATTGGGTCTTCATTTAGGTCAATGGCTACACCGAACCAACTTGGGACCAAAACCCATATCTACTGTAAAATATTCTAATTATATTCACGTATCCCCTCATGTATTTGATTTGTTGTAAACAGTAAGGTGGACTTGATATTTTTTCTTTCTTTCTTTATTTCTTTCTTTTTTTTTTTTGGAAAACTAAGAAGGTGGGACTTGAATGCATCTGATCGTTTTATATATAAGACAAAAGTTGGGGCTCATTAAATTTCATTTCTTATCTTCATCCAGTCAACTCAAATTGTTGCTATCTACCCCTACCTTTATTCTTTGGACCCCACCTCTTTTCTTTCCTTTTTATTGCAATTTTACCCTAACATAAATTCCATCTTTACCCCATGCCTATCCTCTCTAAACCCTAACCCTACCTAACCTTAGCCCCACCCGTACCCCACTAGCTCCAGTCGGGACCTCATCAATGTCCACTACTACAAAAATAGTTAAAGATCACACTTTGACAAAAAAAAGATCTCACTTTTATTGAAAGTATTTTAAAAAAAATTAGATTGATATTTTAATCACACTTTAATTTGATTGAGTGATAATATTTATTTTTTATGTCACTTTTCAATTAAGTGTGATTATATATATTTATTTTAATCACACCTTCTAATTAAAGTATGATTATATATACAGTACTATTTTTTAATCACACTTTTTAAATAAGTGTGATTATATATATATTTTTTAATCACACATTCTAATTAAAATGTGATTATTTATATATTTTTAAATCACACCTAATTAAAGTGTGATTATATATACATTACTACTTTTTAATTACACTTTTTAAATAAGTATAATTTATATATATATTTAATCGCACTCCCTAAATAGGTGTGATTGTATAAAATATTTCAATTGAATTTTTATATAAAATATACAATTCCCAAATCTGCGCCTCTATTCTACCCATGAATGACAAAGGACGACTAACTACTAGAAAAGAAGACTTTAGACATGGAACTTTTTTCAACGGTTTGAAAATGGTCGCAAAAAGCAATATTTTGTGACAGCAAAAAAAATCGTCGCGAAATTAATTTTTTTGTGATGGCATTTCACTGTTGCAAAAAAGGCATCGACTAAATACCATTATTAGAAACAGAAAATCCAAAGCCGTGACAAAAAGTAATATTATACACGACGGTACATTACCTGTCTCTTTTTTTTTTTTTTGCAGCGCCTTTTGTTAATCCGTTGCAAAAGATTTTATTTTGCTCATTAATGATGGTCCTTAAACTCGTCGCAAAAACTTAATCCCTAATTACCTTCGCGCCCTCCCCCACCCCCTTACTTTTTCTTGCTCATCCCTAAACTTTTAGACTTCTTTTCGGATTTTTTGTTTTTAAAAAAAAAAACTACCAGTTTTATTGGTGGTCATATTTGGTTTAATTTTCTAAAACTTGTTTAAGATTTTTTTAAAAAGGCTAAAAATTAGTGTCGTGAAAAAATTAAAAATATTTATCAATTTTATATAACTTTACAAAGGATATGAGTAATTTTTAAAAATCAAAAAATCGATCCCTATATATAAAGCATGAATGCTGGGTGTTGAAATCCCAAAATGACGTCGTTTTGAGCCATAACTCTGAACAAAACCCTTTCACTTTCTCTCTATCGCACTATCTCTGTGTGTGTGTGTCATGTCTCTGCAAAAACTCTTCAAACCCCTACCCTCTCTCTCCATCAGACCCCAAATCCCAAACCCTCCTCTCTCTCTTTTGCAAAAACTCTTCAAAACCCTCACTCTCTCTCTCTCTCTCTCCATCAGACCCCAAATCCAAAACCCAAACCCTAACTGGCATAACAATGAGTGAGAAGGAGAAGATGGACAAAGAAAATACACACAGACAGAGCTCTGAACCAGAAAAGAAAGAGAAGTAACGACGGAGAGAGAAGACGGCCGAAAGGAGACGGAAGAGACGAACCCATGCAAAGAACACTTCCACCCTTCAACCAGGTTTGTAGATTCAAAAAAGGGTTTTGATTTGGAGATTTTCACTAAAAAATCAAGGTTTTGATTGAGCAATTCCAAAATTATGTAAAATTAGTGAACCTTAAGGAACTCTAGGTTCTTGAATTAATTCTGAAAGCATGTGATTATATTGTTTTAGATTGTGAATTTTTCTCTTTTTTTATAAACTTCTTGAATCTGAGTTGGGAAAAATATCTTTAATGTCAATTACTTATTGTGAAATTGGGTTCTTTAATGGGTTGAACACATTTTTTTTTTTAATTTGTTATTCTAAAACAATTGGGCCTTGTTTGGTTTGTGTTTCTCAAAAATTTTTGAGAAAAATTCTCTACAAATAAGTTTTCAAAAGTGATCAAACCAAACAAATTTTCTCAAAAAAATTTCTCAAAACTTGTTTGGTTTACAATTTTTCCAAACAAATCTCTCTCTCATACACATCAAATCAATTACTTTTTCCAAAACTCTCTCTCAAAATAATTTTCCAAAACATCTTTTGAAAAAAATCAAACCAAACAACTTTTCGTACTTTTTATCTCTAAAACTCATCTCCCAAACTCAAACCAAACATACCCTTGATGTTCTGTTACTAAACTTAGGATCCTTTAACTTAGTTGTGATTGTATAAAAAAAATTTAAAAAAAAAAAATTCTTGAATCTAAAATTAGAGAACCCTAAAGGAATTCCAAGTTCTTGAACTAATTTTGAAAGCATGTGATTGTATAAAAATTAGTTTCTTGAATTAAATTTTTTTTCTTTGGTTTAAGTTCATTTTAATTTGCAGCGAGTTGAAAAATTAGCTTAAGTGGTTAATGCATGTTAGTTGAAAATTCTGCTTCAATAGTTCTTGCTTATGAGTACATAATTTATTTGCTACTAATTTTCTTCACAAATCTCTGTCTCTCAAATTATTATTTCAGTGTTTTTTATTTTAATTTGGACTTGGACAATTAGGGATATAGATTATTGCCATTGATTGATTGGTGTAGCTCCATTTTAAAAAATAAATTGGTACAGACACACTTTGGTTATACTTTAATGGGACGGTTGTTTTGGATAAAACTAAAACCTAGATCACAAGTATTCTTGAAAAGGAAGATATGTACATTTAACAATATTTACTTGCTCTACACCTCTGATCTATTAAAAAGTTTAGCAATGAAACTCAAATCCATTTGCCTGGACTCAGCTAATAGTGTCCTTTCTCCTCATTATCTTATGTTATTCTCGATGAAGTCAGCCTGTGTATTTGTAACCAATTGATACATTCTCTTTTTTCAAATTCTTTCTTCTTTCTTTTTTAAAGCTTTGCATTAATAAATGGGTGGGGATTGTTGGGAAAATGCTTAAGCTCCAGACCAAAAAACCACTTCATAAGCATGTGGTGGTTGTAAAACAGAGTGAGTGAGGAAGGTCTAAAGGTGAAATTTCATGGTCAAATTCAACTTTCTTTGCTTGGCTGACTATATCATAAATGTTCATATTGTCACTTCTTTCAGCTCTCAACTAGGTGGATGAAAAATGTTTATCTTTAGCAAAGTTATTTTTTTGTTAAAATTTACAGAGATATGGAAGCCTTTTCTTATAATAATGTTTTATTTTCTATTATTTTCTTACTTGGTTTCCTGTGGTTTAACAGGTCATAGGGAATTACTAGTTTCAATTCGTTTCAACGAACCTGGATGGCAATGGTTAGGATGCTTTTTACCAGATCATCTGGGTGATACTCAGGTGAAAATGCAGAATCATGTTTCTGGTGCAATCAGTATGATACGTGTAATTACCACATTATGTTGAATTAGCATGAGTTAGTGCCTTTTTTAATTTGATTTTTTTAGCTTGCATCTTTTAAGACCAGGCACATTGTTTTGTGAATATACTTGTTTAGTGTTTACCCTTTCTGTCAGAGGGATCCAATATCACATTATTTATATCTCAATGTAGTGTAATCCAAGGGTCAACTTCTTTCTTGTTTCTGTATGTAGTATATTCTTTAATTAGTGGATGATTATTTGTTTTGCAGGATGGCACCTAAGGTTATGGAGCAATTACATGGTTATGACTTAAAGTCTGTTTACATGTTTCTTGCAAGTGTTCTTTCTTGTTTTTTATTTTTTTAATTATATACTGTGAAGTGTTCTTATTTCAATAATATTCCTACAAGGCTGATATTTGGTCTTTTGGCATTACTGCTTTAGAGCTTGCCCATGGCCATGCTCCTTTTTCAAAGTATCCTCCAATGAAGGTGCATACATTATGTGAAGTCACATGCTTTTATCTGCATCTTTGATGGAAGTAACATCTCATAATCCAATGCTAATTCACAATTGTCAGGTATTGCTTTTGACCTTGCAAAATGCTCCATTTGGCCTTGATTATGAGAGAGACAAGAAGTTTTCCAAGGTATGTGCCTATAAATGTGGCTATAATTTTAAGTGTTACTGTACTTTGCCTTAAACACTTGTATATTTATAGCAGAGGAAAGTGGTTTTCATTGTTGATTTTCCTTAATTTATAATCATGTTTCACCTATATATATGATTCAATTACTTCCTTTTGTTGACCTTTCATCCAATAAAAATATAACAAAATTGTCCTATTAGAATTCTTGATTTTCTTATTAATGTTTTTTTCCCGTTTCAAATTTGTCTATATCTATTATCCATTTTTATTGATGTTCAAATTTTTTTCAGCATTTTCATTTTTTCCTGTACTCAAAACAATTGAATTTTTTGATTTTCCTTTTGTGTTTGTTAGTGTGTTTAAAGTTGAAGTTGAAGAGATGAACCCAGAAGTTTTACAACCTAGATTTGTTAAGGTAATAATGGTTATCCTTCGTATATCATTCTTTCTCAAGCTCCATTTGTTCGATCATCATATAATTGGATGAATTTTTAAATTTTTTTTTATATTTATTTATTTTTTTTTTTTTTTTCATTTTTCAATGTTTGGTTGCATGAGAAATGGGTAAAAGAATTTTCTCAATGAAAATATTTGATGACCTTGTTGCGATGATTTGTTGCGCAACAATAAAATAATGTTTATGATTATGACATTGTTCTCTCATCCAACCAGTTGACAATGTAAATGCAGATGACAAACAATCACAAATTCATAAGGTAATTGAATTAACAAAATTATTTTTATGGTAAACAGAGTAACTAAAAAAGTCCTTTAATTAAAATTATTCTCTTGGTTTTGGTTGTGATTTGTTTCTTTGCTTTGTGATTTGTTGCTCTTATTTTTTTTTTTTTGGGTGTGTGTGTGTGTTTGTTTGTTTTACAGGTGTGATGGTAGAGAAATAAATCTTTTCACTCACTCACCGTTGATGTTTACTCCTCAGGTCAGTTCCTTCATATTCCCTCTCTTTTAGTTCATATCTTGCATTGTTTTTTGTATACAAATCTGTGCTTTTGGCTCCTAAGTTGGGATTCAGAATATATATAACGTATTTATGAAATTTGGTCTTTTTAGCAGATGGTTGATTTATTAATGTGTCAATAGGATACTTTATATGTGAAAATGCTACTACTTAGGTGATTAAGTTGATATGATGAAACCTTTTTGGTTGGGGATTATTTTTTTCCTTTTCCGTTTTTCTGTAGTTGACTATACACACTACTTGTTTGATGGAGGTCTAAGAATAGTTGAAGAAGCTATTGGAAGATGCATTGTGTGGCGCTTGATTCATGTATATCTACGAAATTGTGGATTCTTCTATCTGAGAACTATGTATTTGTTAAGCTTTGTGTTGTCATATTTTTCTTTATCTTTTTAATTTTTTTTTTGCTTTTGGTGTGGTAGGAGTTAGTTGGTGGAAAGGAATATGATTCCCAGTTAAGGAAGCATTTTCCTTTTAAAAGGTGAAATCCTTCTAAATAATAGTTGCATATGTTTTTCTTATATTTTGGGTCTGCATTTTCGTGCTTTGTGCTCATTTAGGACTCTGTGTTTGTTAAGTTTTGTATCGTCATTTTATTTATTAATTTGTTATTATTTTTAAATCAAGTAAAAAAGTGCCCAAACAATTTTTTTCTTGGGGGCGACAATATGAGGTGGGGTGGGCATTGCATCAGCAGTTATATAATTGTCAAGATGCCCTAAAACATTAGGAGCATAGAAAATCCAAATAGAAAAAAAGATAGCAAAGTTTTGCTCCATGTGTGTGTGTGTGTGTCTTGGCTTCGTAATGTTGGTGGAAAGGAATATGATTCCCAGTTAAGGAAGCATTTTCCTTTTAAAAGGTGAAATCCTTCTAAATAATAGTTGCATATGTTTTTCTTATATTTTGGGTCTGCATTTTCGTGCTTTGTGCTCATTTAGGACTCTGTGTTTGTTAAGTTTTGTATCGTCATTTTATTTATTAATTTGTTATTATTTTTAAATCAAGTAAAAAAGTGCCCAAACAATTTTTTTCTTGGGGGCGACAATATGAGGTGGGGTGGGCATTGCATCAGCAGTTATATAATTGTCAAGATGCCCTAAAACATTAGGAGCATAGAAAATCCAAATAGAAAAAAAGATAGCAAAGTTTTGCTCCATGTGTGTGTGTGTGTGTCTTGGCTTCGTAATGTTGGTGGAAAGGAATATGATTCCCAG